TTTAGTAGGCTGCAGGTTGTTTATCCACTGCAAAGCGGATCCATGCCATGGACGGTCAATGCTTTGAACAAGTCTAGGCACGTGCAGATGACGCTGTGGTGCCACGTCCCCGTGGTGTACCGACTGCCGTCACACAATTAACGTGTCGCTAGCCCCGCCCCTGGCCCTGCTCGGCCCCCGGATAGATTTGGATGCCTTGTGGGGCCAGCATATCACGGTTTGGTTCTGGTTCGACACGGCAAAAAGCCAGTGGGTGACCACAGACACCTCGAGAGATCTGCGCTGTCTGGGTTCCAATGTACCAGTGGAAAAGGGATACCGGTGACGATTGGCCACGTATGTGCATATGCATGTTGAACTTCTTCCGTACCATACGTAGACAACCGTGCTAATCGTCGGTGTGCTTGTGCAGGGCCATTTTGTGCGCTCTCTGGGCGAATGTGGGGATAAGGAGACGGAGACAGAGGTGCTGCTGCTGGAGCACGACGTGCCACACCAGCCCTTCAGCCAGGCCGTACTTGCATGCCTGCCCCCTCCCACGTTCAGCATCACAGCAGAGGTACGCATGAGACGTGTGACGATATGTCAATTCATCGATTGAGTTCAATTCTTACGCCTGCGGTGTGTTGGTGTGTTTGGTCGTGCATGTGAGAATCCTTTACTTCAATGTTCTTTATTACAAGGCCCACGGGCCACTGGTGGCCCCTGGGTGGCCTTTGGTGTGGCCCATGACGTGTGGCCCCCGACGTATAGGCCCCCGACAATAGACAAATGCGAAAACACCCCCCATCATCATCATCGTGCTGTCAAACCTCAATAGTTTCAAGATGTTTGGCCTGCGTAGAATACCTTCTAGAGGGCCTCTCTGGAGCTCTCCCTCCAGTCGAGGTCCTTCCGCTGCACTGGCATGAACGAGAAGCCACGGGGCTCTACACCTTTACCGCAGACCGTATATAGAAAAGCCGTCGACCTGAAAGAAAGTCGATGGCTCGGACACATCATCGTAAGAAGAGAGGAAATTCACATCGGAGGAAGGAAGGCGACGGACTTATGGAAGCACCAGGGCGGAGACCCGAGAGGCAGGCCTCGAGAGATGCGGATCAAAGTGGTGAGCCAGGATGTGGAGGACTCTGCAGTAGCCGTGGAGATGGTCCAGTACAGAAATGAATGGAGCAAGGGGACTACAGACTTTTTTCCTATAACGCTGTACTTGCGTTCCTGAAGAACACCGAATTGTGGAAAAATCGCATAATAAATAATATAGGGTAAAGCACAGTCCGCGATAACACGTGAGATGCGTACGCAGGCTTAACAAAGACTTCGGGTACGTGAGTAGCATCTAGAAGCATCCAGAAGCATCCCGCCTTGTGTGATGCTACACCGAGGCAACCGTACAACCGCTTATTCTGCCTCGCACAACGCAGTTCTGTTCACTCGATCGCCTTTTATCCAATTCGCATCCATGTTATGAAAAAAATGTGTTCCCTAATGCATTCATCGCATTATATCTAATTCACGATATGAAAACACGCAGAGTTATAGGAGAACGGACTGTACTTTCAAAATATTCAGTCGCCTATTGAGAAGATAGAACGCCATTAGAATGAAGTTGGTTTACCCATGTATGGCTCACCCTGTGTTTTGTTTGTTGTAAGGCAGCGTTTTGTTGAACCTGGTGCTGTGTGTGTCCCGTACAAGGACCAGGCTGGCAGGGAGGACCTCCGTGCGTTGTCCATCTGCAGTGTGGATCCTCCAGGCTGCACAGACATCGACGATGCCCTACACTGCAAACCGCTCGACAATGGGAACACCGAGGTATTCATTTGGTGGTGGTAATCGTGGTCACGGTCGCGGTAATTCGTGCCTATTCCTTTCATGGTTTTGTCAATGCTAGCGGAGGTGACAAGGGGAGTTTAGTGGCACAATGATAAGTGCACTGCACATTCATCCTGTCAAGCTGGTTTAGATTCCCAGTCATGGCTAACACCGGTACAGAGTGATATCTAAAAAAACTGCCCAAGTTCTCCCCTTCACCACCTGCATTGACCATCGTAACAAAGCAAGGTCAAATGACAATCGCGACCCATTACGGCATGGAGAAGCCCTCATCCTGCAGTGGATTGACAAAGGGGTGGACAATATTCCTGTTATTAAGTTTCCAAACATTGTTGCCTTAGTGCCCGTATTCTTGGTCTCTGCTCGGCTCAGGACTGACTTCAACATGGCTCGGTTCTGGCTTGATCTGCTCCGTTGCCTCCAAAGAAGTATGAGTGGCTCAGCTGTGCCTTGGCTCAGGCTCAGCTCACGGAAATTCTGAGCGTGGCTGGGAGCATGCAGAGATATACGAGGAGGCACAAGGGACACAGAGGCTCAGGGCTGGAACCATGCTTAGAGGCAGCTCGGGTTTTAAGCGTTGCTTTGATGTGGCTTATTGAGAATTAGAATCAGAATATTTATACTGGAGGAATCCGATGAGCTATAAAGCTATTTTTCACATGTCCAGTAGAGGCGGGTAAGAACGTTACAACAACAAACAGTACAAAAACATAATAGTAGTGCAAAGTACAAGAAAGATAAACAAATAACCCAAACACAAACAAATACAACGAAACCATCCCCATCCTACCAGGCAAAGCCCACTGAGGTATTGATTTATTTTTGATTAGTGACCTGGCCACAAATGAATAGCTCAACAAAGTGGCCCATCATTTGGACATTTATAGCAGCCAAAATAATAGAAATAATCTCAATGCATGTTGCGCGAGAGCCAAGCCTGAGCCAAGCCATGGCTAAGACCCCACTGGCCTAAGTGTCCACGTCACTGGCCGAATGCCTGGTTCACAATGAATGCACCAGGTAGTAATGGGTGTGCATTTCATTTCACATTATTGTGCTTTGGTTGGAGTGGCTATGGTGGAGGTTATGCATGCATGTGGAGTGAGCGACTTCCGACAGACGTCTAGTAGAAGGCTTCTTATTTATTAAAAGCACACAGGGCGATACACTTCGTAACGCGGCTACACCTAGGCTGTACAAGCACGCAGCCCATCTCCGTCCTGCGTAGCTACGCTGGCTGGTTGACGAGCGTAGCGGCGGAGACAGAGCTGCTCTTGCAGAAGAACCAGCCACGTGGTCGAAGACGAAGAGATGACGACGGTAGCGACGCAACCAGGACCCAGACCCCACGCTAACAGCCCCGAAGCTCTGATTCGGTGCTCTTTATATCTGCCTGGAGTGGCCAAGCTCCACCTCTGGCCACGCCCCCTTTCTAGAACCTTCTAGGCCCTTCGGGATGGTTCCCGGAGCTTCTCGACTGACTCCGCCGTTGACCTTTACCCCAGATACGCCCCTTCATAATAAGGCATTATGTAATGCAGCTATAACCTTAATTACCCTTACAGGCCGGCAGGTATCACCCTGTCATTACACATCCATGCATGTGAGGGTGGTGACGGTGTATTAATGTGTGTTCTAGGTTGGGGTACACATCGCCGATGTGAGCTACTTTATCCGGCCGGGGAATGCCTTGGATGAGGAGGCATCTCTGCGTGGTACCACAGTTTACCTGTGTGAGAAGGTGAGATGTGGATTTCTTCTTGCCACAATATCAAGTGTTTTACGACCCGCCGATTTCATCCTTTCATTCTTAACTTTACGACATGATGTAAAATATTATGATGTAACGATCATCGCGGTACCAGTTTCCCCACAACTGTAATTGTATTTGACATTTTCACCACATTTTTTTGCGTGCTTTTCAGTACTTCCCGTATGAATAACGATAACTTAAAAATGAATTAGAATTAAAAAATGTGCAACAACAATGCTAAATATCTCTCATGATGTTTTAAACGAGGTGATTTTTGCGGATTTCTTATCATATGATGTACCGTGACATCATGAGCGGCAGGCTATCGGCGCAGTGGTAACACTCGTGCCTTGCAGCAAGGAGACGCTGGGTTTGATTACTCAACTCTTGTGCCTTTTCGCTTGCAGTTTTGTTTGTTCTCCCCCCTGTTAGTGAATGGGTTTCCTCTGGATTCATCAGATTTCCTCTAAATAAAACCCATACAATCTTAACTGGCATTCGCGAAAACATCTCCTTGCTGAACAGTTACCTGCAGGTGACTTAATCATGTGTGGGTTTGCTTGCAAAACACTCGTTGAGTTGGTGCATATGTATTTGCCAGATTGTGTTTATTGACAGAGAAGTGGTTGCGTTTATGTGTTTGTGCGCCTGCAGAGGATTGATATGGTGCCAGAGTTATTGAGCTCAAACCTGTGTTCCTTGAGATCCAACGTCGACCGGTGAGATGCACCAACAACTGTGAACTCGCGAGTGCGCACATTGCAACCCATACTCAGCAGCTAACGTGCGTTGTTGCCAGGTGCACATGTAATCCCATGATGCGTGGCACTGTTAAAGTGTCATTGTACAGATCCACACAAGCATGTGTACATACATAAGCAGCCAAACCAGGATGGCACAATGGTAACACGTGTCTCACAGCAAGAATGGCCTAGGATTGATGCCCGACTTGGTTGCCTTTCCATGTAGATTTTGTATGTTCTCCCCCTATTTAGCATGGGTTGACTCCAGGTTATCAGGTTTCCTCTCATCGCTAACATAAACTAATTATTACTGGCAAAGACTAATCAGAGAATCCATTGAAATTGAGAGGAACAAGAATAACTTTAATCGCTCTGACAGCTACCGGCTCAGTGCGGCCTGGAAGCGTATTATTAAATAATACACATTACATTTTGATTTAAAGAATTACTAATCTACAACTCATTACTAATCATAACCAATGACTGATTACTAATCGATTATATAATTACATTACCCCCCCCCTCCGCCTCTAATCACTGCACCTGATGAGTTAAGTGATGACGTCACTCTTCTGCTCTATATAAAACCGGGAGCAAGCGAGGGCTTTACCATTCTGGCGAATTGCCCGATGATGCTGGAAGTATTTACCAGCGAAACGTCGTACTCAAACTGTAAATGTGGATTAACTCTTCAACACACCGGTGGGCTGAAGTAGTGAATTATTTGTCTTTTGTCAACGTGACACTTTTCTTTGCTGATTGGCCGTGTCGGGTGGTGGAGGGTTACGACACATTTATAAATAAACGCGATCTAACCCAAAAACCTTTATTATGAATAATATAAACGTGTTATTACTACTATGATCCTTAACCAAGGAAAGCCTCACTGAATCTCATAACTTTGGGAGGGTACTGCAAAGCTTTTGCAGTCGAACAATGGTTGCTACGTATATATTCCAGTTGAGTAATTTGTAACAACCCAAACCGGTATTTGGCCAAACATCCCGCTGCTGAAAGAATGACTCGACTACCAAAAACTTGGCAAGACCCTCCTGAAAAAGAGTCTCGAGACTTTGCGAGGCTTTCCTGAGTGAACACCCTGCACCACTCCAATGACGACGACTCCGCCACTCGACGGTGAATGGCGACGGTGCATGTGCTGTGCGCGTGCAGGCTGGCGTTCTCGTGCATATGGGAGATGACTCCAAAGGCTGAGATCGTGAGCACACGTTTTACCAAGAGCATCATCAATTCCAAGGTGATTTCCCCCCACCCCCACAGACGTTCAGTTTTTGTAAAACTCTCGTTTGCTTTCACGTGTATTGTATCGGTGCCTTGCTATGTTAGTGCAGTTGAGGTTTCCGGATGGCTGAGAGGTCAGAGCGTTGAGCTTGCACCTCTGAGTTCACAAGTGTAGCGAGATGAACCGGGTTCACAAGTGGTAGTATGTATGTTGAACTTCTTTTGCACCGTACATAGCCAACTGTGCTAATCTGAGGTGCGAGGTAGGACATGAAAGTAGTGAGTTGATGGTCTCTGTCCAGTCAACAATCACTGCACAAAACACAGGTTTTTTTTAGGTTAGATCGTGTAAATATGTAAATGTGTCATTAAACCCACCCCCACCCGACACAGCCAACTAATAAGGGTTGTCACGTAAACAGAACATGCCAATTCGTCACGAGTACAGCACACCGGTGTGTTGTACCAGTGACGAATTGGCCACGTTCTGTTTATGTGACAACCCTTACTAGTCGGCTGTGTCGGGTGGTGGCGGGTTTAACGACACATTTATGTATTTACACAATCTAACCCAAAAAACCTGTATTATGGATGATATTGGTCACGAAAGCCTACGTGTTAAACTCACTGCACAAAAGACCACCAAATTACATTGCACTAAATTTGGTTAAATTCCAGCTTTGAGAATTCAAAAAATATCAATTTTGCTGTCTTTGGGTGAGCGTAACCCTCAGTGGTCATCGGGAGCCACGTAGACATCTGTTGAGTTCTGGCTTGGGCTTGGATCAGGCGTGGGCATTGTGTAATTGCGAGGACCCCATGGTTCACCCGTGGTGTGTTCATCGTATCCCCGCAGGCGTCTCTGACGTACGCAGAGGCTCAGCTAATGATGGACGACGCCGGGCGGAAGGACCCGGTCACCAGCAGCTTGCGTGGCCTCAACTCCCTGGCCAAGATCCTCAAGCAGAGGCGCATTCAAAACGGGTAACTCATTGTCAAGATCCTCATCCCCTCCACCGCCTCTGGAGCGCTGAGCAGTATTAATGGGTGCACCACATTTAGTCGATCGGCAGGTCGCCTGTGGCGCGGTAAAGTGTGGTTACTCCCGTGTCTTCTAAGACATCCGGCCAGCGTGGAAGAGTAGGCTAAAATACATTGAGAGGGACTGTAAAAGGGTGTATCTCTAGAGGGGCCCCCTCTTATGGGAGCCCCCTTCTTCCAGCAGTGGCTTGAGCAAGCAATTGCAAGGCTGCACCTGTAGCTTTTTTGACCCCATGATGCATGAGGCTTGGGTGAATACCATGCACAAACAAGTGTTACAGGATTCATACTCTTTGTTTTTTTTCAGTAAAGTCACGTAGGTAAAACTATAAAATAAAATAACTAAATTAAATCACGACGTTTCGGGCGCAACACAAGCGTCCTTCTTCAGGTGGGACAACCACAGCCAGAAACAATTGCTGAAGTGGGCAAAAAAGGGCTGTTGTAACAAGAGGCTATATAGGTAAGAGAGTGGGGGGGAGCAAGGGGGGAGAGATAGAGAGGGGGGGTGTGGGGTAGGGGAAGTGGGGTGCTGCTAGAGGGATTAAAGGGGCGAGCACGGCAAAATGCCGGGGGGGGGGGGGGGGAAGTGAGCGGGGCTGGGAGTGGGAGGCTGAAGAAGCTGGAGATGCGGAAATGAAGGCAACAATAAAGAAGTTAAGGTTTTACCTAGTTAATAACATCCTTCTAGATTGGAGTGTTACAGGCTGCTGCGGGGCTACATTGTGGGCAATAGAGGACAATGCAGTGACATAAATTGTTTTACTCTACTTAATGCTCCCATGTCTGTGCTCCCCCACCTTTGCCAACGCGTACTGACCACCACGGTTAAGTACGGTAAAACCACCCCACGACCCGCATGACATGGGGCTGGCCCTCATCCAGCAGTGGATTGACTTAACGAGCTGTGCATGTTCAACTCAAATATCTGAGTTTGTGAAGTGTCTTATATTAAGATTCTGTGTTGTTTTGGCTGGACATGATAATCGCTCATGTCCCTTCTCCACCCGTAGGGCATTGACTCTGGCATCCCCTGAGGTCCGATTCCACATGGACAGCGAAACCCACGACCCGATCGACCTGCAGACCAAGGAACTCAAGTGAGTCTCGTCAACAAGACACCTCCCATGACTGCAATCCGACTGTTGTGCAGATCTCTCTATCAGAATCAAAATATATATTTCTACTGGAAGAATCCGATGAGCTATAAAGCTCTTTTTTCACAGATGTCCAGTTGGGGCAGGTCACAACGTTACAACAACAAACAATACAAGCACACGTTAGGATTGCAAAGTATTGGAAAGGTAAACAAATAACTTAAACAAATATACAAATACAACTAAACTATTTTTATCTTACCAAGTAAAACCCTGACCACAAATGATAGCTGAACAAAGTGGCTTATCACGTGGGAAATTTATTATCAGCAAAATAATCTAAGATAAAGATTCTTGACCCTTGTGATTGATGTGTTGTGGTGGCGGAAACTGGTGCGTGTACACAGGGAGACCAACTCGATGGTGGAGGAGTTCATGTTGCTCGCCAACATCTCCGTGGCGGAGCGCATCGTAGACGAATTCCCCGAGTGTGCGCTGCTCCGACGCCACCCGGCGCCTCCGCCTTCCAACTACGACATCTTGGTGAAGGCGGCGAAATCAAAGGTAGAGTTAGAACCCCTTTTAACGACCACCCTTGTTAACTAATCGCTTAACAACGGGCCTCCATAGAGCTCAATGTGTAGGCTTAACCGACCATTTCCCTGTTAACGACGGGCTGTTGTAGGTACAGTAAATATGAATTAATGCCACGTAGAAGGGAAACAATAAAATAATAAAAATATAAAACAATAAAATTCTCACGACGTTTCGACTGCAACACAAGCAATCATCATCAGGTGTGAAAACCACAACAAGAAAATTTGAAAAAAGTGGCAGTTATTTTTAACGTTAGCACCACGGAGAGAGATTTGACAGTTTGTTCAGATGGACGAGTCCATCTATGTTCGGAAAAGAGGAGGGGGGAGACGAAAAATAATGGATGCGGTCTGAAAGCCACCTTAAGCGTGATCAATCAATTAAGACCCGAAATGGTTTATGAAATCTCTCTCCGTGGTGCTAACGTTAAAATAACCGCCACTTTTTTCAAATTTTCTTGTTGTGGTTTTCACACCTGATGATGATTGCTTGTGTTGCAGTCGAAACGTCGTGAGAATTTTATTGTTTTATACTTTTTATTATTTTATTGTTTCCCTTCTACGTGAATTTACCGAAAGAACCAAGAATATGAATCCCTGCAGTCACGAAAGCTTTAAATCAAAATGAATGAATGCATTTATTAACAGTGTTTATTTTAATATGATGTGTTTATAATGTTAGTATCTTTATGTATTAATATCCATTGTTTAAATATTATAAAGTACGTTTTTTGGGTGAACAAGGGAAACTTTCGATGCTATCGGAACGAATTAAGCTTTTAACACGTATTTCCTATACTCGCTTAATGACCAAATCCTTTAATGCTCGGGTTCGTGGAACCAATTACCGTCTTTAAGAGGGATTCTACTGTCTCTAGATTGCTGTTAACCTTCCTTCAATATCATCCTCCTCGCAAGGAATTCAGAGGTCGCCGGGTGGCTCAAATTTTTGTTTGAGGTCTTTTGGTTTAACCGGGTGAGAACTCAAGAGACCATAATAGTCTCATTTGCAAGGGTCACCTGGGTCACCCTATGACCCAGAGATTACAGCTGGGACCCTGGCTTCAAAATCCAGCAGCCGCATTGAACATACTGTGTTATCAAGTGTAGGGAGTTGAAGGACTCGGCTCGTTTCCCAGCTACTCCACAGAAATAAGCAACAAAAAACCATCACGATAAATGTAGTACTGTATTTAATTTTAGATAAATTCCAGCACTGAAATGTTGAAATATCAGGTCGACTTATTGTGATGAACATTATGCTCAAAATGGGTGGGAATGTGCTACCCCCTACTGTGAAGCAGAGGTGTCTTGAAACGATGTCAGTATTGGCCTGAGCGAGCAATTGCAGGGCTGCACCTTTTACCTTTATCTTGAGATGTAGCCGTATAGTTTCCACTCGCCCTTAGAGGCAGAACAACTCAAAAGGTGTGACGAACCACAGACAACGCTGGAAGGCAGCCAGGCACTGTGCCAGATGTAGATTAATCCACTTGCTGTACTGCCTTCTCCTGGCAAGCCAGGTTATGGAAACCTGAATGCCCACAGGAAGTGCGCTGAATAACGTTTTCTTTCCAATACACCACAACCCTTGCTGCTTCCCCAGCACTGAACTACAAGCCACGTGCGGGATAGTCACCTCACAAACGCCGGTGTGCCCGATTTTTTTGCGCAGAACATCGAGATCCAGGTGGACTCGGCTAAGGCGTTGGCCGAGTCCCTGGACCGGGCGGCGGTGCCGGGAGCGCCACCATACCTCAACACTCTGCTGCGCATCCTGGCCACGCGCTGCATGATGCAGGCCATCTACTTCTGCTCCGGCATGGAGCCCGACACCCACCACTACGGGCTCGCCACCGCCATCTACACCCACTTCACGTCGCCCATTCGACGGTGACGTGCTCTGGCGTCAGGCACACGCGTGAAATCGACCTTCGCGATTATTGAGGGGACTATGTTGTTGTCTTGGTGTGGTCTGGGACTGTGCTGCCTTTCCCAAGTTTAGGAATTTATTTATTAATTGATGTACTTATGCAATGTTAACTTGTCATTATGGCACACCTCCGATTAGCACGATTGGCTACGTACGGTGCGAATGAAGTTCAACATACAACTTGTATATCTTTTTTCTATTATTTACTTTTAGTGATTTGTTTACCTTTCCTATTCTTAGCACTCCTATCATCTACCTACTGGACATCTGTCAAAAAGAGCTTTTATCGCGAATCGGATTTCTCCAGGATAAAGATTCAGATTTTGACTTATTTTTCTAAAAGGTCCTATAAACGGGAAGTTTGGCCAATTCCTTAAATGGTTGTTTGGCTTGTGTTGGAGAAAAACTAGAGGATCCGGAGAACACCAACGCCTACAAGGAGGGTGACAGTGTTCCACGTGCAGAATCAAGAATCCATTGCCGTGTTGCAGCGGCGGCCAAAAGTGAATTGCAATTCTGCCATGGATCGCTAACGATTTTGTTGTGGATCTTAAATAAGAACACAGATATGAGCAGGCAGCAATTTGCGCTACATCTGATGACAAATAAAAAATCCTCAACAAAGAATTAAATTCATACATTAACAAAGATAATTTCCACCAGCAGATGGTGCTAGAACGTGGTATGTCCAGAGTACAGTATTCTATCACAGCGTTAAATCCATCTGAGTCATTGTTTGCGTAGCTTTCTGGTGGATCGTGAAACCCGCTGAGATCCACCAGAATGAATCGCGGTGCTTGGTGGATTAATACCGCTGCTCCGTTGGCATCTCGTGGCCATACCGCAGCCTGTATCTACTGTAAATTTAATCTTCATATTAAATAGAGGCTACAACAAATGTGAATATTGTTGTTGTTGTCTCCCTGTACCGTTACAGATACTCGGATGTGATTGTGCACCGGCTGCTGGCCGTGTGCGTGGGCGCCGACCCCACGTACCCGGCGCTCACCGACAAGCTGGGAGTGCACAGACTGCGTGAGTCTCGGGATCAGTATGAGACTGGGGACCATGGTGCATCATCATCAATCCATCGATTACAAGCATTTCTTGAGGCGGCCCCATACCTGCGCGATAAGTGTAACTTGGTTGCATGCAACTGAATCGGGTTAGATCGCGTAAATATATAAATGTCGTTAAAACCCGGCACCACTTGACACAGCCATCTAGTAAGGGTTATCACGTAAACAGAACATGCCAATTTGTCACTAGTACAGCACACCGGTGTGTTGGAGAGCCAAGCCACAAGATTTACAATCTGAGTACGACGTTTCGCCAGTAATTACAACCAGCTTCATCAGGCGACAGCCAGATTTGTGGAGAAGTCCACGTGTTTCGTTCCTAAAAATAGAGGCATAGATGTGTAGTGGGTTCCAGGACACGGAGACGGCAGAATAGAAGCAGCACTATTTATTTAAACCTTAACAAGGGTTACACTGGAAGGGGTAGCGGCCCCTCCACCCGTATAACTCAGGAACACACCCCAGGCTCTCTAGCCTAAGCCCTAGGCTCCCAGTTCCTCCTGGTAGGACTCTAAGGGAGGCTATCAGATCCGGCCCTGGTTAGGCACAGATCTCGGCACCCCGCCGACCAGACCGGCCCTTAGAAGGACTCTGACTCTGGGGCTCTGGGGCCGCACCACTGGCTTGCTGTGCCGGCCCTGAAAAGGGCAGCGGTCACAGGAGTTCCAGGGTCTCACCTAGCTGGCCTTCTTTCTTCACTGGTTGCTTCAGCCTCGGGCCCCACACTCTGCCCCGAGCTCCCTGGCTCCCCGCACTTTATACCCACTGGAGCCTTAGCGGACGTTGTTGTAGCCACCAAGGTGTGGGTGAACCACCCCTTCCCGTAATGTGGTGATCACACTTCTGCGAGCCCTTTGATCTTGTCCTTCCTGTCCATTGTGTGTATTAAAATAGTCGTATCAACAGTAATCCCTATTGAAGTATGGTACTCTGTATAGACATGCATTTACGCAATGTATTATTTGATGATTTGCTTCCACGCAGCACTAAGTTAGTAGCTATCCAAACGGTTAAAATTATTTTTATTTCTTTCAATTTCGATAAATTCTCTAATTAGTTTTGGCCAGTCGTAGCTAGTTTTGCTCAGAACTTCAACATTATCAAAATTAATTGAGTGTTCTTGTTGGCACGCGTGTATTTAATATTTATCTGATATTCTTTTAGTCCCGTGCTGATCATTCGTCCTGTTTGCCCGACATAACATTGGCCATAAGTGCAGTTAATCCTGTACAAACCTTCTGTTGATAGCTTCGGTAATACATATTTTGTACCAGAAGTCGAGTTCAAGAAACATAAGTACGTTTTTATTACAACTTAAATATATATACATATATAAATATACATGTCCATCCAACCACATCTCAATGTCTATGTCTGGGAGAACACGCTAGTTTATCCCTCTGCGGAGTCTCCACCACTTTTCTTTCTTTTTGTTTCCCAGCTGCTGGTCTTGGCGCTCCTTCCCTCTGTCTCCTCCTCGTTCATTCTCCTCTTCCTCATCTTTCTCCAGCTGCCGTGTGCAGCACAGGAAGCTCCAAGTCCAACGCCAGAAACTGTCCTTTCTCTCTCTCTTAGAAGATGGGATGTGCTTAATCTCTTTCTTTTCTTCCTGAACACTCTCTGACCTCCAAGGTTGCTCACATCTTCCTTCCTCATTCACCACTTCCTGCTTTGTATCGTCTTCAATCGTGTCGACCTCCTTCAGCTCTACCTCATTTGCCTCTAACTCAATAGCTCCTACTTCTTTTGCCTCTACCTCTATTGCCTCTACATCATTCGCCTCTACCAAAATCGCCTCACTCTCCTCCACCTCAATAGCCCCTACCTCCACTTCTACCTCAATCACCTAGCTCTACCTCCATAACCACCTCCTGCTTGGCCTCTCCCTCAATCTCCTCTACCTCTTTTGCCACTTCCTGGATGGCATCTACTTCATATGCTTCAACCTCATTTGCCCCTTCCTGCTTTATCTCCTCCACCACGTTCTCAACTTTTTTTGCCATTTCCTGTTTGGCCTTTACCTCATTCGTATCTACCTCATTGATCAAGACCTGCATGGCCTTTTCTTCGATCGTGTCGACCTGAATTGCCTCGACCTGTTTCACCAATTCCTGCTTTGTATCTCTCTCAATCCCTTCTACGACATTGGACACTAACTCTTTCACCACTTCCTGCTTGGCCACTGCATCTACCTCAATCACCGCTACCTCTACCTCACTCGCCACTTCCTTCTTGGGCTCTCCATCATTCCCCTCTCCCTCAATCTCGTTTTCCTTCATCTCTTCTACTTCTCGAACTTTCATCTCAGTCCTTCGTAGCTTCCTATTCCTACGTTTCCTCTGAACACCATCCTCTCCCTCTTTCTTTGTCTCCACAACATTATCAACTTTCTTAGCCACTTCCTGTTTGGCTATTCCCTCATTCCTATTTACCTCACTTGCCTCTACCTCTTTCGCTAAATCCTCCTTGGCATCTCTCTCAATCCCTTCTATGACATTGGCCAATACCTTTTTCACAAATTCCTGTGTGGCCACTGCATCTATCTCAATCACCGCTACCTCTACCTCATTTGCCTCTACCTCACTCGCCACTTCCTTATTGGGTTCTCCATCATTCCCCTCTCTCTCAATCTCGTTTTCCTTCATCTCTTCTACTTCCCGAACTTTCATCTCAGTCCTTCGTACCTTCCTATTCCTACGTTTCCTCTGAACACAATCCTCTCCCTCTTTCTTTAGCTCCACAACATTATCAACTTTCTCCGCCACTTCCTGTTTGGCCATTCCCTCATTCCGATCGACCTCATTTGGCTCTACCTCTTCTGCTAATACCTGTTTTGCATCTCTCTCAATCCCCTCTATGACATTGGCCGCTATATCTTTCACCACTTCCTGCTTGGCCACTGCTTCTACCTCAGTCACCGCTACCTCTGCCTCATTCGCTAATTCCCGCTTGCCATCTCCTTCTAATACCTCTACCTTATTCAACTCTACCTCATTAATCACATCCTCCAAAGCCACTACCTCAATCATCTCTACCTCAATCGTCCCAACCTCCACCACTTCCTGCATGGGCTCTCCCTCACTCCCCTCTCTCTCAGCCACCTCTTCTTTCACTGTCTCCTCCAGAACTTTCTTCTTGTTCTTATGTTTCTTCCTACTCCCACGTTTTCTCTTCATACCATTTCTATCCCCCACTTTCTCTATCTCTTCCATCTCGTTCTCAACCTTGTTGCTATTCTGACATGTCTGCTACACATCCTCATTATTAGTGTTGACTTCCACCTGCTGCTGCTCTTCTGCCTTTTGCTGCTGCTGCTGGTGGTGGATGATGAAGTTCTTCAGCTCGGTGCTGTTCTGGAATTCCAGCAGCTCCCGCTGATACTTGGCCTGCTGCTGTGCACAATGATCCAGCAGGATCATCTCAAGCTCTCCAATCTGGCGCTCAGCTTCTAGTTTTGTGGCACAAAGCATCCTCTTGTGCTGCCCCTTCGAGCGACGGTCTGGGGAGTAACATGGGAAGGAGAGCAGCACCACAATTGATTTGTTAATGGGTATTTGAGTATTTCCTGTATGATAATAGGTTTTTCCCATTTTTTCTGGCAACAAAACAGGTGTTAAGATGTTAAAACACCAAACTGAAACCTTTTACAAGGAATCATGTCTGCATTAACCATGATGCTTGTGGTCAGAATGCAAACAAAAAACATACTCTGATAATATATGCATTGTCCTTGAAACTGATTGGTCCACACTAGGGACAGCTTTCTTTTGAGCCTCGTCTCAAACGGTGTTAGACCAGAGGATGCCAAAAGGCATATTTCCTGTATGTTATTTTGGTAAAGAACCTTGGCACCATTGACAGGAATCTAACTTAACTTGAGATCGATGTAACAATGATAACACTGTAGGGAGGTCTGGAGCTTGACTCATGTGCCGGAGACACCTCCTCCTCCAAAGAACTTCATTAGATTTATGGGCTGGCTGGGGAGGCCGTATTAAGTTTGTGAGGTCTAGAAACTCCAGGCCAAACATAGATAAACTTCTGTTATCTCCGAAAAAGTAAGATGGATTGATGACCAAGCTGTGGAGGTCTGGCTAAATTTATAAGATGTCCATTGTTTCATAAGAGAGAGCATGAATCGGATAAGAAATACACTATTAATTCTTATACACTGGTCCATTCATACAATTAGTATATTAGTGGGCTACGTTAGAGAAGATAAAGGGAGGAGAGTAGAAGAGGAAGGCCGGGGTGCCCGGAGGACAGAGAGTGCCCAGAGGGGCCAGAGAGCCAGGGGCAACCCTGATGTTTATGCTGGTTGGATAGCATGTGCTCCCGTGCATGTGAGGTTGCTCTCAACAGAAGTCATTCCTTGCACGAGAATGGCTGAAATGCTGAGTAACCACTCAGAGGTAGTGGAGACGGTATAGTGGTAAAACAGTGGAGATTTAAAAAGCAAAGTTTAAGATTTGCAGTTGTCAATTTATATTGAGCCGATACATATGGCAAGTCAAATTAAGAAGACTTAAAGTGAGTTTTGCAGAAGAAATCTTGGAGGAAAGAGAAGATACATGTGTGTCTCTTGGAGAAGGAAAGGCATTGCTCAAAACTGTGCTGCAAGGTCACGTGCCATGAATCACACGAGTTTAGAAAAACGTGACTGTAAACCAACAAGCCTGTGAATAATTATCATGGTGAAGACACCTCTATACGTTGGATACTGAAGGAAATCCATCGTGCTACACATCGTCAAAGCCCGACAACACCTGACATTCGAGAAAGAAGTACAATTGCATCGTTCTACACATCGTCAATACCCCACCACATCTGGAAAGTCACCAGCTGCATCAAGCACCTGACTGTTGTAATGTTCGAAAGACACTGTGTGTAACGACTTTACATCCGCCGGCACAGCGGGTTTCTAAACGCCTGCCATGTCACCTTCTCAACACTAGCGTCTGAGACCGTCTGATACAGACTGAAAGCTGATTTCCTTTGTTGCACTGTTTGTCTTTTCATGAATGTCATATTGTGCACTGGGTTATGCCTTATTAACCTAAATTCTGAATTTAGCTATTCATGTATTTCTATTACAGTATCACATATTCTTTGGACCAAGTGTCAATTGCCTATTTGATGACTGGTACTCTGATTCTTTTTTTACAAATCAGGGACTTGTTTTAATTAAAATGTCTCTGTGTGTGTGGTTGAACAGTGTAACAAATCCATACCTTACATGTGTAGTGTTCTAGATTTAAAGTTTTCGTGACTGCAAGGATCCATACGCTCTGAACTCGCGAATTTAAAAACAGAAGTGATATAGTCATCCTCTCAGCCGATAAAGGCAACGCTACTGTAATTATGGATAAAGATTCATACAACAACAAAATCCAGAATCTGCTCAACGATGGAAGTTACTCAAAAATTAAAAATGACCCTACCAATAGCCTAGCGATAAAAACCAACAAGATCATCACAAGTTCGACCTCCCCAATCGACCCAACTAAACGTCCCTCCCTAAAACCTTCTGCTGCAAGACCCCCTAGATTCTATGGTCTTCCCAAGATTCATAAAGAAGGCACCCCACTACGACCCATCGTATCCACGATCAACTCCCCTACCTATAGACTAGCCCGTTTTCTGTCAGATACCTTGCTGCCTTTCACTGGCAAGACCGCCTCAGCAGTACTTAACTCAGCCCAATTGGTCTCTATGGTCAAAGACGTTGTACTGTCCCCTGACGATATCCTTGTCAGCTTCGATGTGGTCTCTTTGTTCACCAAGGTCCCAGTACCTGATACCATTGAAATAATTGAAAATTTGGTCCAACATGGACTAGACCCCGATACACCTGCACTGGTTAGGCACTGCCTCAACAATACCTACTTTACTTGGAATGGCTCCTTCTACAAACAAAATGAGGGTACCCCCATGGGATCCCCCTTGTCACCAGTGATAGCCAATATTTTCATGGAGAAATTTGAATCAGACGCCATCCAGACTTCCACCCTCAGACCTTCCCTGTGGAAGAGATATGTGGATGACACTTTCGTCATTTGGCCACATGGCCTCCCAGCTCTGAACCTTTTCCTACACCACATCAATTCCAGACATCCCGCCATCAAATTCACCATGGAAGTGGAGAAAGATGGCAAGCTACCATTCTTAGATGTTCTGTTTGAGAGGAGACCTGATGGCTCATTGGGGCATTCTGTCTACACGAAACCCACCCACACAGATTCCTACTTGAAACCTGATTCCCACCACCACCCAGCCCAAAATAATTCTCTCATCAAAACGTTATACCATAGGGCTCATTGCATTTCGGACCAACACCACCTGACCAGTGAATTAAAACATGTACACCTGGCCCTCAAAAGGAATGGATACTCTGACCGTACCATCCGCCAAGCTATTTCTCCCTCCATACAGAAACAACCACTTGATACTCCGGTCAAAACCATCACACTACCATATATAGCAGGCGTTACTAAATAGATTTCCAAAATTCTAAACAAACACAAGATCCAGGTCCGGTTCAATACAGTACACAAAATTCGTGATCTGATCCCATCCGTGAAGGATGTCATTCCTGACTTACAGTACCCCGGGGTTTACAAATTGAGTTGTACCTGCAGTGATTGCTATATCGGGGAGACAAAGCGACATCTCTCTGACCGAATTCGCGAGCACAAATCAGATTTGAAACACGGCAGAACGAATTATTCTGCCGTAGCTGATCACTGTTACAACGCTGTGGGTGATCACGATATAATTTTCTCCGATACCAAGGTTCTTTGCAAACCCTCGGGTTTTTATCAGAGATTTGTTCACGAGGCAATTCAGATCTACAAACACAGACACAATTTCAACCGAGAAGATGGTTTCAAATTAAGCAACCATTGGAAAGATGTTTTAAATCGAACCAAACATTAAACTAATTTTCAATGGTACAGTATATTTTTCAAGTAGTGGTACCCCAAACTTTCGCAGCTCTTAAAAATGCCCTTTTCACACCATCAATAGGTAAACTCCCCCTTCCCCCCCCCCGCGCCAACCGGCATGTGCACCCGCATGTACACCACCTCTACACCGTTCATCATGCTAAGTCGGCCAATCAAATGCTAATTTTTATGCTAATTCCTTTATCAAGGCACCTTGTTTCCTCGCACACAGCTTAAAGGTCGCGGTCTGAGCGTGGCTCTGTTTCACTCCAGCGCTGTCCTCGAGACAGCCTGGTCCCTTCACCTGATGAAGGCCGCTTGTGTTGTGGCCAAAACGTCGTGATTTTTGTTTTATTTTTTACCTACGTGACTTTACCGAATAGAACCAAAGAGTATGTGTAGTGTTGCAGCGCCGACCTGGTCAAGACCTATGATACAATCAGTAGGCCAGGGCTCTGGACTGTTATTCGTGTTTTTGGAGTCCCTAACCCTCTGCTCACAATCATTAAGGACCTTCACGATGGTGGACAGGCCCGGATAAAGTTGCATGCCTGGGAGTCAGAGCAATTTCCTGTTTACAGTGGGATGCGACAGAGATCTACTCTGGCTGACACATTATTTAGCATCATCTTCGATCATATAGTTCTAGAAGCTTTTTATAGCTGTACCGGTGGATTTTTTTCTATTTGCTACAGATACAATGGGAGGCTGATTGATGCCTGGGTGAGGTCAAGGGATGGCTCCCTACTGGTCAACCATGTTATGTACACTGATAATTTGGAAGTTGATGCTCACACTGAAAAATAGTTGGAGGTTCTGCTGCTAAGCCTGGAGCGTGTGATAAAGAGGTGGGGCCTTACCATCAGCCCCACCAAAACTAAGCACCCGCCTGAGTATTTTGTGTAATTTAATACTCCGCCCCCTCAACTACTCTTGAGTGATGGGGTAGTTGTAGAGAGGAGAAGTTTACGTACCTGGGTAGTGTGCTTATGTAAAAATTCCGGTTTGGCAGCAAAGGTGTCACTCCGAATCGGTCAAGTGGCATATTTTCATCAGCTTCGTAACACTGTGGGGTATCTACCTGGTCTGTCACTCGACACAAAGCGCTGGGTCTTCTTGGCCAATGATAGAATAAATTAAAAATCTGAACCAGCTTTAAACTTTCAGACTGGCCTGCCTACGATCCACCCTGGGTTTAACTAGGCTGGAATGTGTGAAGAGCTCACAAATCCTTGAAAGATCTGGACACATTCCCATCAGTGAGCTCCACTGGTGGGCAGGGCTGCATTGCTTGGGTCATGTAGCCCGCATGCTCAGCCACCACATGCCCAAGCAGCTTCTGTTTTTCCAGATAGAGGGGGCTAAATGGGCGTGGCACGGCCTGGAGAAGAGATGGACTGATGCAGTACAGGAGGTTACGGAGCTGAGTGGACTTGCCACAGACTGGTACCACTGGTGTCAAGATCGGCCTCTATGGAGGAAGCTCGTGAAGGATATGGGCAGGGTGAGAGGAGCGACTCTCACAACAACAGACGGTGCACTGGATGACTAAAACGCAGCAAGTTGGCACAGTAGGATGCAAAGGTGGTGCGTCTGCCAGTCATCTCAGTCAACCCATCGCACTGGGGTCTGTCCGCTGATCTCCTGTCGGCAAGCCTTAGACCAGTGGTTCTTAACCTG